ATAAATTTCTTTGAGACTTAGGGGAATATAATGCATCAATGATTTCAAACTGTGTTCCCCTTGGCAATATTATATTTTCTCTTCCGGAGCCTTCCACAATGTTTGTACTACCATATATAATGCTTACATTTCCTTCTTTTATTATTAAGTGAGAAAAATATCTTTTATCTTTGAGTATGGTGTGAATAGTTGCAAGTCTACTAGGTATAAATATTCATCATTCAATGCTAATTGCCTTTGAGAGGTATTCATAATTTTCTTCAAAGAAGAAAAAAATTGTCACAAAAACAATTATAATGTCTAAAACATATATCCAAATACAAATAGTAAAAATATCTGACGATAAAATGTCTCATAAAAGTAATAATAAATTGTCCCTCAAAACATAAAACATAGCAATAAAGTTCATAAATTATAACCTATATAATTAAAAATAAACATAAGTTGATAGAGTTTAGTACAATCAATGAAAATTTGTGGACTTAATTATTTCCTTCAAGAGTAAAATAAAAATTAGTCTCTACTTTCATACACAAGATTTGTCTCTACTTTCTTTCCTTTCTATTTTAGTGACTGCTGATAAAGATCAATTAGGTATTTTTTAGTACGACATAGACATGACCAATGACATTTTCCTCCACAACGATAGCATTTATTGGTTACATTGTTTTCCTTTTCTTTCTCATACTTGCTTTCATCTTTACGATCCCACTTCCGATGGGAATATAAGTTTCTAAGATGACCACCTTGACCATAGCTATATCCATGTCCTTGTCCGCGACTATGACTGTAATATCCTCAACCCGTATTCGACCCGAATACGAGTCCGAGGTGTCATATTGACTTTTCAAAACATTTACTTGTATAAAATAGTGAGTAATTTAAAACTTTTATAACATATATCTTATTCAAAACGTTTACAAAACTATTCAGAGCTTATACAATATATTCTTTTGAATATATGCCAACTAGAACTTTATATATTAAAATACATATTATTCACCTCTCTTCTGATCTGACCTTCAGTAAGGAGAACTGATTTGTCTTGTTCCACATTGCTCTTTACTCTTCTTGAAACCTACGTGTAAATCACTTACATGCTAAGTCTATGACTTAGTGAGGCAATAAACATATAATGTTAACTATAACTTGTAATCATGCATGAACAATTACTGCTATCACATCATACACAAACATATATCCATTCATATATCAAATCCACACATGCATATAATTATCTTCTTCCATATCATTATCATATTATTACCATTCATATTTCTATTCTCTTGTTTATATGATCTATTATTTTCATATCATATATCTTAATAATCACTAACACCCATATATCATATCATATAATTCATATCACAAAGCGCGCACACACACACACACATATATATATATATCACATACATTGTATTCAATGTTATCTTTTATTAGCCCATGTACACCTGTGAGAACTGTAGATATGTGAGTCTATTGAGGTTGTGCACTATGTTGTCAACACAGCTCGTAAGGGGTCCTACTAGGGGCTATGAAATTTTGTCCTGAATGGCCACTATGAAATATCCCGAAGGATCACTATATGTCCCGAAGGACCGCGTAGACCCTCGACTCTTGGCATGACAACTATACCTATAGCTCTCGTATCATATAACATGGGCATTTTCACTTATATCATTTCACATATACACTTTCATATCACGTGTCATATAAGCTCATAGCTTCTTTCACATATACATGTAGTCACATAGCTTGTTTTCATATTCTCATAGGATCACATAGCTCATATCTTATACTTTGTTTTCTCATGTTCACATATATCATATCATATGGCTCATATCTTTCTCATGCAGTCACATAGTTCAGTTTCACATATGTTCATATATATATATATATCACATAGCACATACTTCTCATATCATTACATTCAAAACCATGTTAACATATATAATCATGCATACATACAATTCATGTCATTCATATACGTATAATCATATATTCATGCATTCTAACATAGGAAATAGACTTGTCGCAAGTCTTGTTTCCATTTAGCACCACAAACTAACTAATATGCACTCACCTTGGCCTCACTAAGTTCCAATCTACTTTTATGATTTCATTTCCTTCGATCGAATCTTAACTTGATGATCGTTCTGGAACTTGTTCGTACTCGATATCTACATAAATATACATTTTAAGGTAATTATCATATATCTACACCTTGTAATTTGATGCTAATAACTTGAATGAATTTAATAGACCAATATTCACTTTTTCCTTTAGGGGTGTACCGATGCACTATGGATGCATCGGTACACAAATTAGGTTCGAAATACACATGCATCGATGCACCCCTTAATGTATCCATGCACCTTCAAAATTGGTCTTAGTGCATCAGTGCATTTTCATAGTGTACCGATGCACCTGCCCAGAATATGCTATTTTCACCCGAAATTCCTCAATACTTACCCAACTTTTCATGTATAAACCCTTTATTATGTTATCAAACTCATCTATAACCATTATAACTAATTTCTAGCATTCCAACACCTTATAATCTCTCATATTTCATCCAAATTCTTAAAGCTAAGAATCATACCAAAATATCAACATGATCCAAATTCAATTCTAATGCTTTAGACTTCTTAATTCTTCTTATGTCAAGTCACAAATCTCATTAAAACCCTAAAAAACAAATCATATCAAAATTCATCTTTAAAACTCATTTTACAAATACCATCATAATTCACTCATCTTATTGTTTTAAGTTTATATAAGTTTTCCTTAAGCTTATATAACACCCAATTATTCCAACCCAGCCTATAAATTCAAGGAATTAACAAGGTGAAATCAACTTACCTTTACTTTGGCTCTCACGGTGAAGAGAAAGAAGAAGAATAATGGAGAGTTCTCTGGAAACTTTCCCTCATGTCCCACGTTTATATAGCCTACAAAAAAAAGATAAAAAAACTTTCTTGTCAAATGACCATTTCACCCTTCTTTCTTCCATCACAAAATGTTTCCAATAAAGTCCCTAAACTTTTAACTTATTTCAAAATTAAACACAAAACTTTCAAAATTCACGTTTTAGTCACTAGCCCTGTTTTAGGATATTACAATGACCACGACCACAACCGTGTCCATTACCACTGTCATTGGCATAGTTTGTTTCTTTCAGTTCTTTCCCATTTTTAGTTGTCACATCCGCTTTAGGGAATGTTGCAGAACCAGTTGGGCGTAATTCATGATTTTTCATTAGTAGCTTGTTGTTTTGTTCAACCACTAGGAGACAAAAAATTAATTCAGAATATTTCTTGAATCCATTTTCACGATATTGTGTCAGCAAGACAATATTAATTGCGTGAAAAGTGGAGTATGTTTTTTTCTAGCATTTCTGCATCAGTAATTTTCTCTCCACATAAATTCAACTATGAAGTGATTCTAAACATGGTTGAGTTTATAATTACTAACAGATTTAAAATATTGTAATATTAAATTCAACCAATCATAACAAGCTTTAGGCAAAATTACAGTTTTCTGGTAGTCATACCTTTCCTTTAGATTGATCCAAAGGATTTGAGTGTTTTTAACTGTCAAGTATTTAGTCTTATAACCTTTATGAAGGTGATGGCGAATGAATATCATGGTTTTAGCTTTATCTTGAGTTGTTGCTTTATTTCCTTCATTAATAGTCTCAACAAGACCCTTTGTATCCAAGTGAATTTCAGCATCTAGTACCCACGATAAATAGTTATTTTCAGTGATGTCCAAGGACATAAATTCAAGCTTTGTAATATTTGACATGATCACTATTATAATTAAAAAAATGTTATAAACATGCAAACAAAATCTAAAAAAAGATGACTAAATTATAATTAAAATGACAAGGCATTGATAAACTCTAATCATGGTGGACTATGATAAGAAAGTACAACAACAAAACATGTTTTAGAAGTTGAGCTAATATATATGAAATATCTATATTAAATCACTATTACAAACAAGATACTTGTATATCATAACAAATTCATATGAATAAAGTAAAAGACAAGTCTTAAATAATATACAATAAAGGAAAACATAAAATAAAACTATTCACACATGCCAAAACTAAAAAAAATCATGCAAAGTCATAAATCTCTTTACAAAGTAAGTGTCACTTAAATTGTAAATCTCAATAAAAGAAGCCATGTCACGTGTCCTTTTAACAATGATAGTAGATTATACCTTAGTAGATGCTAGGTTATGGAAATATACACACCTAAGTGAAATTAGTAACATTGGGTTCACTTTTGTTCAACCTTACCCAGTAATATTTTCAGATTGTGCTGATAAATGTTTTAAAATAAATGAGAGATATGAGAGAAAAAATAGATTTAAGTATATCCATATTTTTTATATTTTGATGAGTACATGAACGACATATATATATATATATATATAATGGTGAAGAATGCTCTGCAATAAATATAATACATGTGAAGAGTCAAGTCATTTGATATTTTATCTTCACAATTCTTTGAAGAATGATAAGAGTCGCATTAACTAATATGAGTAATAATGACATCCACATAATATATATACACCTCTAATTAATATTATCTTACACAAGCTAAACGACTTCGGTGATAAATGAATTATTGTTATTACTTGAGGTCCTAGGTTCGAACACCATGAATGTCAAGGGTGTGAACATTCAATGTCAAATGGGTGAGAGATATCTTTGAACAAATATTACATTATACTTATCCAAGATTAATAAAAAAATTATTTTAAATTAATTAAAATATTTGACAACTTAAACAATAATTTAGGAATCTCTAGTATCTGGACTGAGAAGGCACATGACTCTTTTAAATTTTAAAATTATCATATATTTTAATTTTTTTCTATATATTTTTCTATTGTAAATCAACTTAAATTTATTTTATGAGTTCCATTTCTTAAATTCAAAGAAAAGAAAACACGGGAAAAACCAAAATAGATATACCGAGCACTTAGGGCAACAAACACCAAAAAATGTGCATTTAGATCAGGGCAAACAAAACATTTAAATTCCCCCATGAAATCAACAAAACAGAAGCAGCATAAGACAAGTACATCTATAAACCTACAAAGGCCGAACAAACCTAAACCCACAAAACTATCCGTCATGAAAATCATCCCTTTCAAGGAAGACCAGCACCAGCTGCGGGTCCAGCACCGCCGTATCCACCACCTCCGCGACCAAATGCAGGCCTTGTACCAGGGCCCTGGATGTTCACAAAAATAATTAACCTCATAAAAACTGAAATAACTGAGAAAATTATGCAACAAAGTATACGGAAACTGCATTCTTCAAAGTGAAATAACATCATAGTGCTAAAGCTACTCGGGTAATAAAATCCGAGCTACAAGGCATAAATTTTCTTCACATTCGAAACTAAGCTGGAGCAAGTGCAACAAAACATGGAAACTATGTAGAGCTCCGACTCTTCATTTTGTCCTTAAAGTACTGGTGTCGAACCTCTATGTCACTCCAGCATAGAGGTTAAAGCGATTCAGGCATTAATATCTGAGCTACCGAGCATAAATTTTCTTCAAATTTGAAAACTAAGCTGGAGCAAGTGCAACAGAGCATGGAAACTATGTAGTTCCGACTCTTCATTTCCACCTTAAAGAACTGGCGACCTCTATGTCGAAAACATTTTTATTTATGATTTATGAATATGGAGTTATCAAATGACCCCCGGAATAAAAGTAAAAAAATTCATAACTGATTGAGACTAAAAGATCTAAGAACTATTGTAAGAAACCTAAACTTTCCACACAAGCCTAACTTTACAAACAAGAACACAATCCAATCGATAACAAAGAAGCACATCAAGTGACCCTTGTCAAAGTAACATTACCCTGAATGAAGGCTGATAATCAGCTGGAGCTCCTCCCTTGTCACCAAAATCACCGCCTCCTCGAGGACCTGCACGATAGCCATCTCGGTCGCCAAATCTCCTCTCACCGTCACCAAAGCGAGGTGGACCACTGGTTCATTATCAACACAAATATTAATAAACCCATATATGAAAAATCACGTTTAACTAAATCAAAGAGCAACCCAAAAATAAACCCTAAACCGTTACCGTGGGCGGTCACCGGGAGGGCCCATGGGACGACCAGCAGGCTTAGCTTGTTTCTTCAAAGTAGCGGGAACAATCTCAGAAGGAAGATTAAGGTAAGTCCTCAAGAACTCAATTCCATCGTTTGTAAGGTACCAATAATAATGCATCCAAACAAAAGTTTCACGCACGTATTCCTTCGACTTGAAGCTTTGCATCAGCTTTATCACTCGAAGATTCGGAACATCGATTTCTGGGTGTTTTGCCAAATTATAGTCTTTCTTTGCATAGCAAACGCCCTCTGCTCCAATTCATAAAACCCAGATCTTAAATCCAAATATCTAACTGAAATATCGAAAAGAAGTTGAAATGGGTAAAGGGATGTATCATATGGGTGCCTTGGAAGAGGTACTTGGAGATCTCGCGGCGGTTTTTTTCTGGAATGATCTAACATAAAAAAAACAGTTTATTTAAACACATTTTGATGCAAACATTTTCTTAGAAACCAAACAAAGGGCGAGAAATTACCATGATTAGGATGAGATATGAAGCAGCTGCTGCAGCTAATACAGCTAAAGATGAGACTCATGTTCTACACTGTCTTCCTTGCCTACACGGGGAAACCCTGATAAGTGTGTTTTTATAGTATTTTTGTTTTCTCAGTATTTGGGCTTTTTTTCTTTTAGCTACAACTGAGAGAAATATGGGCTTTCGAAGTTTTAAACAAAGGTTTTATTTTGATTTTAACCCCTCTATTTTGCTAAACTTTAAATTTTAATTTTTTTATATTTTAATTATGTCGCTATTGAATTGAAATTGATAAAAAATTAGATCACGTGAAATTTTTAAAATAATATTAATCATTTAAATTACATGTAACTTTTTTATATTAAATAGGATTGATTAAATTTTTATGTCATCTTAATTGTATGATTAAATAATACCTTTAAAATTTAATTTTATCAGTTTAACGATAATAACAAATGTTGTTATCAATTTAAATATACTAATAATATTATAAAGATAAAAATACCAAATTATAGTAAACTAAAATAGATGAATTAAATCTTGAACTTTGGTATAATAAAGAGTTAAATAATAATTAGATTGAGGTATTTGTCTAATAAAGTGATTATAAGATAATATTTGTCTAAAATTTTCTTAATTAATTAACAACGTACACACCTCTAGAAAAAATAACATTATCTTTTATCACTGAGATAGCTTGGTAAATTTGATTGGACTGAAAATTCTAAAAATGAATTTTTAAAAAATGATTTAATTAATTCGATTTAAACCGTGTTTTGCTACGTATTTATCTATTTATATATTAGTCCTGCAATTTGCATGTATCGATGGTTTTTATGATCATATCAATCATTGTTTTGTTGTCTGCAACTTTTGGTTAGTGCTTCTACATTCAACACCAATGAAAGTCAACAGTTTCCTTCCCTGTAATCTTATTTTCCTCCCAGATTTTCTTACCAAAACATTCGATTCTTCTTTATGTTTCTGTCCGATTCTTGTTTGGTTTCATTTTTCCTTACAGAAAGTTGTCTTGAAATTGGATTTACACGATGACAAAGATAAACGAAAAGCCATGAAAACCGTTTCTGGTCTCTCAGGTACATCTTTCTTGTTCTGTAATATTGTTCAATATCAGGAACTTATCTCCTTCAATTTCTCTGTTTTTTTTTTAATTTTTCTGTAGGCATTGATTCTATTTCCATGGACATGAAAGACAAGAAGCTAACGGTAATCGGCGAAGTTGACCCGATTAACGTTGTGAGCAAGTTAAGAAAACAATGGTACACCGAGATTTTGACCCGATTATATTTTAAATCTTTTTCTTTCTTTTGCTTATTTTAAATCTAATATTTAAAAATTTTAATTGATTTCTTATTACGTAAGTAGAGAAATCTCTTATTATAAACATCTCTTATTATTTTTTAAAAACATGTATTTATGATATTCAAAAATATATTAACAGTATAAAAATTATTATTAAATATCTAATAAGTTCATAAATTTGGAAAACAGTCATCGATAATATATTTATAAGTGTTTTATTGTTTAATTTGAATTATCTTCATATTTTAAATTAATTCAAAATTTTTATTTTTAAAATCCAAAATTTCAAATGCCGACATTAACAAAAATGAATTTGAAAAACGAATTTCAGTATTTCACCACATAGATTTTCACTTTCAAGTTCATCAGAGATTCTTGGGGCAAAGCCCTTAAAGATTTAGAGATTATGGGCATCAAGCGACTCTTCAAGACAGATCTTAAAAAATAGCTTAATGATAAATAAGACCCCCAAAGAAAAGATTTATTATAAACCATAAATGTTCCACATACTGACTGGACCTTACAGGCACACTAGCCTATATATATTCACAACAACCTGCTGGAAATATGTAAAAATATTTACAACAAATGGTAACACAGCAATAAAGCACTTTCCTTGCAAATCTAAAACTAATAAATGACCAAAGGTTTCTAACACTACTGTAAACACAATATTTTCGTCCCATTATAATATATTATATATATATTATACTAATTATTTTATTTTTTGTTTTGTTACACATTTCAGGTCCAAAACATTGGCCCACGTGTGCAGCCCACCATACGGAACCCACAAACTGGTCCAGCTAGGGTTTTGAAACCCTAGCTTTCTTCACAATGTTTCAGCGCCGTCTTGTGGTCAACCGAACATCCCCAGCCAACGCCTCACGCCAGCCGCTCGCCGTTCTTCACGCATCAACGCCGGATTTCTCGGCAACCAACAGAAACAACCAATGAGCATTAGAGTTCTAAACCGAATAGGACTCTAAAAATAGCTTATTTTTTGTAACTATAAATTACATGCACACACACACAGGGGAAAAAGAACACACAAGTTTCGTACACGAAATACGCACAGAAATTCACAATAGCAACCAAAAAGGAGATCCAAGCACTTGTAGAACATTTCGAGAAGGAAATAAAGGAGGTAGTTTTTTTTACCTTGTTCTTTTATTCTACTCCCTTGCATGTTGTTTTTCCATTGTCATTTGGTGCGAATCGAACCCAAAAATCACTTTTTGGCCGATGAACAGGGAGGGCCAACGCGATCTACCCTTTTAGATCTAGCCCTCCCGAGGCCGTTTTTGAAAAGATCTTTCGTGGGGGAAGGAAAAGCCTTTAAAAAAAACCAAAAATTTCAAGGTTCGCCGCCGATGAGCGGTGGCCGGCGCCGATCAGCGGCGGCCGGCGTGGTGGCCAATGGCCGGTTTCTGGGAATTTCGGCCGTTGTTCTTCATTTCGAAGAACATGGGAGAGAAACAGAGAGAAAGAGTTTAGCGTTTTAAAAAAATGAGAGCAAATGAAAAAATCAAAAATTGTTTGGCTTAAATACTGAAACCATTTGACCTGCGCGACCCGACCCAGTAACTCCCAGGGTCCGCGTGTTCTCATGAAAAGAGAGGAAATTTTGTTTTGGTCGTCATAGTTCCGAAAACTTTTATTTTGGTCCCAATGTCTCTGTAAATCGAACTCTAATTCCGATTTTCTTTCAATTTTGCCACCTAACATTATGTTTCAGCGTTATTTTAGTCTTTCTTTTATATTTGGTATAATTATCATGTGTTTCTTTATATTTATGTTCAATTCATTTTAGTCCTAAGCTTTATTTAAGGGTTATTTACATTTAGGGTATCTGAATTATTTAACATTTGTGATCTGGCTTTAGTTTATGTTATAATTAATGTTTGATCCCTCTGTTTTCTCTTAATGCCATTTTAGTCCTTGAATTTCTGTTTTTGACATTTGAGTCCTTTATCCTTTTTGTTTTTGCTATTATGATCTTTTACATTTTTATTTATTTATTTATTTATTTCATATATATTTCTTTAATTTTAATATTTTTTATTTCTTTTAAATTTGTTATATATATATATATATATAGTTTTTTTTTACACTCTTTTATTTTTTATTTTTTATTTTAAAAAAAAAGACTGAATATTTTTCAATTTTATTTATTTATTTTTATTAATATTTTTTATTTATTTTCTCACTTCAAGTTATTTAATATTTATTTATCATTTGTTATCTAGTGTTCTTACTCATTTTTAGAGAAATTTCAACCAATCAGGGGTAAGTTTTGGATCGTTATTTTACCTTTCAATTTAAACTTTCAACTTTCTTAATTAAAGACAATTGGAAATTACATAGTACCGAAAGGGCGGTTCAAGGGTGCTAATCCTTCCTTGACCGTAACCGATTCCCGAGCCCGACATATTTCTGGTAAGACACATATCAGGTAAGAAAATAAGGTATCCGATCAACCCACTTTTCGTAAAGTAAATGATCGGTGGCGACTCCCAATCCATTTTTCACGTCGAAGCCCAATTCCGGGGCCCAAACCGAAAGACGGTTACGACAGCTTGGCGACTCTGCTGGGGACACAGGTAAGTGAGTCAGGCTAAGGTAATTTCCAGTTGTCTTTTCAACGAAAAGGGTAAGTTTAAATTTTAAGGTAACATTTCGATCCTTATTGCTTACTTTTGATTATATTTTTTCGCGTAAATAGTTGTACTAATCGTTTTCTCAATGATTTCAGCCCTTAAAGTCTTTTTTCATCTAAGGCTCTAAACCCGAGCTCCAAACCCGTTTTAAGTGGGGGTGAAAGCGACGCATTCGTGTGAATTTATTCACCGCATATGCCTAGCAAGTAGCCTTCGGGATTCATATACCTTATGTCTTCGTGTGAATTTATTCTCCGCATAGACATAAGGGAATGTGTCCTCTCGAGTTTAACTTAGTCCACATGAGCCTGTGATGGGTTTAGGACTAAGGGTCTGACAAGCCCAAGGGGGCACAAGCAAGGAGAACTCGGGTACCATTTTTTAGCACCTAAATCGGGAGACTTCGAAGAAATAGAGCCTACCCCAAAACCACATTCCAAAACCTAGGACAATTGTTTCCTAATCATTTGTTTTTTTTTCTTATGTTTTTATTGCCATTTATTTCTTGTTATTTTTATTTATTTTCATTTATTTTTATTTTACTAACCATTTGCCTTTGTGTTTGTTTTTAGCATTTGCATCATAACAAGAGGCCATTGATCCCTAAAAAGACATTCATTACGCACAAAATAATCTGAATTAATGGATAAAGGTGTTGTAATACAAGAGATTAAAAACCCTGAGGTACGACTATGGTCCGAGAAGACTCAGAAGGAAAAGGGAGACAGTCTTCAAGACAGCTATGTGTCAGAGCTGGTTAGCTACGCCTCGATCAGCCTAAAGCAAAATGACGTACAAGAGCTCCGGGATATCTGGGACAGTTGGAAGAATGAGGTGAAACAGAAGTTCAGCCAACGGTACGGTGATGTTGCACTTTTGCTTCATGTTAAGATTGATGAGCCCTTAATTAGAGCCTTGGTTCAATTCTGGAACCCGGGATACAGTTGCTTCACCATTAACCGGGAAGACATGGTGCCCACCATAGAAGAGTACACTACACTGCTGCATTGTGAAAACATCAAACTCGAGCGGGCCTACCTTAAG